TGTCCGCCGACAAACAATGAACGGCCGTCAAGTGCTCAATCTCCGCCTAGCCTTTGAGTCCCGCCAGAGTCTCGGGCGATCAAGAGCACAGCGCAGACAAAGCTGTGTGATTACGCTGTGGCCACCACGAATGACAGATTAATCATGTGAGACTCCAGCATTCAACTGTTAGGCGCACTGACAGTTCGACCATCAATTCCGACGATGTCCAGCGTGTGCTCCACAGCAAGGCGGAGCAGGGACGGCGACTTGTGCATGAATTAGTTTATGGTGATAGTAGACCTGCACAGCATCTACCGCACTTGCTCTTCCCCACTCCGCACCTGGATCCGGTGTCAAGACAGAGTCAAGAAGACCGGAGAGGGGGGACGGCGCAGGTGGCTTGCACGACCGGAGCCGCACCTAGGCATGCCACCATACTCCCTGGTCCACACAGCAAAGTATCAGAATTTTTCACCAACAAGAGCAACAACACCCCAGCGGGGATCAGAAGGACGAGGATGATGACTGGGCAGCCATGCCCGCCACCGGTGGCTTGCGCGTGAAGTAGTTTACAGTGATGGCAGACTTGCGCAGAATCTACCGTACTCTGTCTTCCCCACTCACCACCTGGACCGGGTGTCAAGACAGTCAGGAAGGCCGGAGACGGATGAGGGCGCCGATAAAGGCACGGTCGAGACCGCACCTTGGCGTCCCACTCCACACCCCCTTGTCCACACAGCAAATGGCCAGGTTTTTGACCAACAACAAAAAAGCACTCCAACAGGGGGTCAGAAGAACGAGGATGACTGGGCAGCCATGCTCACGACCCGAATACCCAGCGGGAGCGCAAGCGCATCTACCGGCAGGGAACCAGGTATCAGGGAACTGCCAGCGCATACCGGGCTGCGAGGGCCATGGTTTGCTGATACTGACACAGCGCACGCTTTCAGACCTTTTGGCATTAGACGCATCAATGACTAAGCAGAAATAATAACTACAAAAGTAGACTGTCGCACCATAATTACGGAACTTCTCCGATAAGGCACTGTCCCGCAAAAGCACCTTTTTTGCTCTCCAGATACTTATTGCTTAGCCCAGGTTATTAGGCTCTATTAAGTATGTGAGATCGAAGACTTCAAAGTCTGTTACCTAAATAATTTCTGGGAGAGCATAGAAGGAATTACATTGTCCCCACCGAATAATGAAGTTCTAAGCGGAAGTACAAATAAGCCGAACAACACCCTATTACTTCAGTAGTGGGTTGGGAATGGGAGCGTTGACTTCCCGTAGACTTAATTTTGTGATTGTGGTTAGGATTAGGAGCGAACAGGAACCCGCATGAATTTAACGTACTGGTGGTGTCCATATTCCCGAGTACAACCAGACTACAACGCAGTTATTGTAGAGTTTCCGTCAGTAAATCAACTTACTTACCATCAAACACTCAACTTAATCTTTTTAGGTAAAAATCAACTCTGGACGTCAGCAGACATGTTAACTGGAATTGTTTTAGCAGACCAACCATCTGGTATCAATCAAGTGGGACTGCAGAAACAAACCTCACCACATGGTTTTTTCCAACTGTCGTCACTTGGGCGTATAAAAATGCCAAATTTTATTAGAGTACAGCTGACTCCCGTCCATTCATGGTTCGATATCTGCGCAATTCCTTTTTGTGGAGCATATCTTAAATATTCACTGATGACTTTCATCACTTTTCACGACTATAAATACGCTTTGTGATATAGTTTTTTAACCGTCTTCCCAATATTGATACTAATGTAAAGACGCCAAAATAGCAATAAAATGAATTATTTTTCTTCTAAAAATGTTCGCAGAATGACATGCAAGTAATAAACACAATGCTGCCAAAGCTTGTGAAGCTCTTCCACCTGACACGCCATTGGCCGCCGTAATGTTTCTTAAATATTTATGTACCATGCTTAAAAGTTTCCTGTACTTTTGAATGCACAACTGTTAACCCCACTTACTGCAACAGGAAAGCTTGAGTACTGTATGAAAGAAAATCTGCTTGCCTAAATATAAAGGCAGTTTGATTGGTTTTCAACTTGGCATAAGTAATAATTGCAAACGTGTTCATGTGTCGCTGTAAGCCGTATATTGTTTAAGGATAATGTTGTAAGATGGCCCTGAAATAATATGAACCTGCTTTAGGACGATAGTTTAGAGTATATTTTGTGTCCGGACATTAAAAGAGGCAGTTATAAGCCTCTTTAGAGGGGTCTCGAGCATTCGCGGATTCCAGTTATTCACGGGTGAGTATGGTCCCTAACCCCTGCAAATACCAGGAGTCGACTGTATTGGCAGTTACAGTTCGACATAATTTCTTGACTTCCCTGCAAAGTACCGGTGAGTTGATGCCTAACTTTGTAACAGATTCATGTTCTTTATGCTTTTCTCTATCCTAGGGAAGGTATTGTTTTCTCTTGCCTGGTATGGATAGTAACGCTGCTGTTCAGAAAAGAAAACTGGCCTTTGGGTCGGTTAGTACTCTTTCGAATTAAGACGACTGTCGAACAGGCACTCAGTGGTGACACCAAAATGGCCGGGCATCTAGGAAATTACGAATTGCGCAAAATTTAGTTCCAAGGAAAAAAGGTGTATTTTGGCGGATTTTGGGATTTTAAATGACCAGCCGGTTGTGACAGACACGGCCGTCCCGATGGGTTTCAAACTCGCGACAAAAAAGGACAGGGCTTTAATACACCCTGCGGCCTAACGATCTGAACTGCTGAGGACGAATGAGAGCCTTAAGTTCTTCACGTTCAAGCTATTCGCCCGGCCTACTGTAGAGTATGCAACCCACACAAGAGTGTTAGCAATTCAGGGCTCCAGGTAGGGGTCCCGTAGCTCAGGCGGTTAGAGGGCCTTGGCTGTATTAAAACTATTTCCTCTCCGCCGTGGATGTGAACCCCCTCGGGGCAGCCAGATCTTAGCGCTATATCCATTTTTCTAAGGACGTCCCCCCTCTCGACACATCTGGGCTTTGTTCGTCCAGTTTTGCCGAAGATTGTTCGTTCACGCGAATGAGAGCAGTGGAGTACCCGTGGGAGCAGGCTCACCGAACGGGTTTTTGTGAAAGAAACATTTTGCTCTAAAATAAAGCCGGACACAAACATCAATGACCCTTGAAAGCGCAATGCAATCGGAAAAATTGAGCTTATTCCGTTGGGATGCTAGCATTCGAAGCACTTCCAGTCATTCGCTTCACTAAGAGTTTGTACACATTGTCCCTCAACGAGCCTCTTTCAGAATGAACGCCATGCTACCTCGTCGACCCAAGGTCTTCTGGCGGCCATAGCAGGTGCTACAGTGGGTTGATATCGAAGAAGGGATCGGGCCGTTTTTAGAAGGCACCTAAAAATGGAGGGCACCTTGTTAAACACTGCTTGGGGCCTGCACGTTGTTGTCTTCCAACGGAAGAGCGATCATTGTTTGAAACCTTACAAACATGCAGATGAGACGTTTTTTCATGAAGGAGACTTGGCAAGCAAAAGGGTAAAATGGCGAGCTTCCCGCTAGATCGCAGCCGCCTAAACCGTCTTAAACCAAAATTTAGGTATGGACCTACCCCTCCGACTGTTCGATCTTACACAATCTCGCAGTACTCTCTGCTATTCGTCTTCGATTCTCCTTTTCAGACAGACTACTTTGCCATTCGGCCGTCGTAAGGTTGCTGAACGAGCCGATACTCTGCTTCGTTTAGGGGGCAAGGATAGGTTGTGCAACCCAATGGGTTTGATATGCATAGCTGCCTACTATATTTCTATTAGTAGACATTGTTTAGTTAATGAATTCGTAATCGTATGGAGTCCCCGAATGCAGTCATGACGGCAGTCACCATACGACGCTTGCTATAAGGACCTTCGGCTGCGTGTTGATTTACGCTGCCTCGGTTAGAACACAAGCGCACACCTTCATCAACATCTCCCTATGCTTTCTGTTGTCGGACGCGTACGTCGTCAGTTGCTTATGTCTTTGATAAAACTCGCTTTATGCTTTTCACCTAGTTCGGTAATCAACATAGAACGCCTTCTGTTAGGATCCCCAGCTGGGTGTTGGTTTACTTCGCTTCAGTTTGAACACAGGCAACGCCTTCATCAATATCACCCAATACTTTTTGCTGTCGAACTTGTAGGTCGTCTGTTTCTAACGTCATCGGAAATGTTTTTCGCCCATTTTGGCAGTCACCATACAGCACGTGCTATGCGGATCCTCGGCTGCGTGTTGGTTTATGTCGCTTCGGTTAGAACACAAGCGCACGCCTTCATCAACATCGCCCTATGCTTTCTGATGCCGAAAGGGTGCGTCGCCAGTGACTTACATCTTCGAAAAACCTAACTTAATGTTTTCGTCCATATCGGTAATCACCGTACAAGGCGTGATGTAAAAACCCTCGGCTGCGTGTTGGTTTATGTCGCTTCGGTTAGAACACAAGCACACGCCTTCATCAACATCTCCTATTGGTTTCTGTTGCCGGGCCAGCTGCACAGGACTAATGGAATCCTGTTGAAAACTTGTCTTCCAAATATTGTGACCTATCTCTTTTTTCCTTCATATTTGCAGTGAGTGATGTTCAAGAATGACCTTTTGTCCCCTGCCAAACAGGCAACGTAGTAGATGCGCTGGACCAACACGGGGGCCATATTGGATTCTGGTAGGCGTTATCGGATTTGCGCATCAGGACAAATGCCAACATTTTGGGGCTGCGGTGGCAAACCGGGCTGCCGGCAAACGTCTCGCACACTGGGACCCCTGCCGCCCCTCACTGTTGTTGTTGGTTAAAAAACCTGGTCAATTGCCGTGTGTACCGGGGGGTGTGGAGTGGAGCACCAAGGTGCGAGCTCGCCCGTGCCATCCACCTGTGCTCCCCCCCCCCGTCTCCGGTCCTCTTGACTCTGTCTTGACACCGGGATGAAGTGGGGCCAGGTGGGGGAGGAAGAGGGAGTGCGCTAAATACTACGCAAGTGTATATTCACATAAAATAAATCACACACATGTCGCCGTGCCTGCTTCACCATGATGTGGAGCACACGGTGGACATCGTCAGCAACGACGATGAAACTGCCAGGTTGGTCTTTTGCCTGAAGGACTCCGTAAATCGATAAGCCCGCAAAGCTGGAAACAATCTGTATCCAGACAGCGCAGCAGTCAGACCTGCCAACTTCTCGAAGTCCTCGATTTTCCCTTTGAACACTCCTTCGTTTGAAATGACGTGATTTGTCGGGTGTCAAACTTGGCTCTCCTCTGAAGTCACTTCATTTTCTACGCTGAAAGTGAGAACAGGTTTTCGTTTTGAGGTAGACGGGAATATTTACCGAAAAAAGTCCCCAAATACCATTGCCCAACAGAGGTGAAAAGTGCAGATTTCAGTACTTTCGACGTGATCAGTTATCGCGCGGACTGAGTTTTCTCCAAGGAAGTTGCACCTGGCGCTGGGTTAAGAACCTCAACAGCGAGACGTGCTTCCGTCCCTGCCTGCTGGACTGCGTCTACGTTCTCTCGCCTCGGCAAAGACTGCCCCATAATTCCGTCTTCCCCGACTTTTGATTTGGGAACCATCAAGTTGTCCGCCTATCGCACTACGACAGGTTGTCATCTTTGGGTAAGCGAGCAACGTCGGACCTATCTCCTGACCATCTTCTGCAGTTGGATATTTGACCTTACTGCAAACCTCTAAGAGACAACTACATCACCGGCATTCCGGTTTTAAACCCTTGTGACGCCGACTTACACCATACGCGAGGATTAATGGTGGAGGGGCGCTTACTGATCGTGTTACGGAACTCGCTCGTCCCCTTATGCCATGCGACGTTGGACTTTTAACCAGCAGGTCGCGGGAGCGAGCCCCAGGTGTTCCACACCTCCGGGTTGGGTATGGCTGGCTGACTACGGCCAATAAGCCAGAAATGGCTATCCCAGTCTCCCTTGTCTTTGTCGGTAATGTTGCCCTCCCCTGAGGATTAGTTTAAATTACCTACCAACCGAAGACGGCTCTGACGTTGCCTGCAACGCTGCGCTCTGACTTTAAATTTGACGGGTCGTTTGGAACTTATTATTCTCTGAAGTACTTCCAGCAAAGAAATTTCCGTGTGTGGGAGAGAGGACAGAGTGATTGGCAAGCGGTGCAATGTTAAAGTTATTCTTGGGGTTAGTGATTTTCAGATCTGGAATCTCTTCTATCCCCTGGAATGCACTCTCTGGCATACTTCACTCCGGTTTGCGTAAACATAAAAATCATCAAACCAAGCAAGCCGAATTGAAATGTTCCGCCACCTGTACCTAGTGATAAAGAACATTTTATCTTTCATTTGCACTAGGTTGATATGTATCACCAGAACTTAACCAACCCCATACTCATATTGAAACAGTTGAGAGATCCGAGTTGATGATTTGAAGGAAATGATGGACTCGCCGGAACGGGTTTATTTAGGTGCTGGCGTTTCAAAGAGCTTGATCGGCTTCCCATTGTCGAAGGGTAAAGTGCACTTAATCAACCAGAAATTTCAACTGGCATGTCGCGTTAGCTGGCCTCATGCTGATCGATTTTTCTCTTCTCTCGCTGCTCCCCGCCTCTCGGGGGGCGGTTGGCGGACGTTTTGTCTGTGTGCTTTGCACGCCACCGCTTCGCCGGAGGGAAGGTGGTTGAACCTTCGTCGAGTGGCTGGTCTGGTGGTTCTTCTTCCTCGCCGAGTAGACTCACCTTCGGCCCGTCTGTGTATGGCCTTCTTAAGTCCAGTGTACTAACTTGGTCGTGAGCTTTACGAACGAGATGACGTAGGACCTCGTAGGCTGCAGGAAGGTCCAAATGCCTGTTGATGGAGTCAGCATACCCCATACTGCTTAATTTAACAGTGCGCAAGTTTATCTCTTAAAACGACTAGTTTGACTTCTGTATGATAAGACCGCAAGGCGGACAACTGTTTTTTATATATTATTGCGAAATGAATATTTTGATTCCTACTACGGCTGTGGCTGTCTCATGCTTATGTTTGTCCTCATAAGCGGCAGTGTTCGATCTCGCGCCCCTCACCGAACCTCTGGATTGCTTCGACAAAGCCCGCTAACGGCTTGACTCAAATGCTGTTGCCTAACGCCCCCTGTACACGAAGGCTGATCCTACTATGGTCGAAGCACCTATTCTGTCGGGCTTGCATGACAAACCTATCATTCTTTACTGCCCCGTAATTGCTGCGTATTGCGTAATTTTAGAAGCTGATATGCCCCCTGATCACTGACCATAAAAACTTGGCGGGACTCTTTTCATCAGACAAAAAGGTACGACTGACGACACGTCCAGTTCCTGCATGTGAGAATACTTTTCTGCGTTTCTGTGACTTCCTGACTTCTGATCGGACACCGCTTGTCCACATAACGATCCCGGTTAAATCCGAGATTGTTTAAACTGCCGCGAAGCTAGGGCGGGCCTTCGCGCTGCTAGGGTTTTATGATTAATTTGACTGGAGAATTTGGCCTCTTGTAGATTTGTGCGCACTTGGCCCAACACGGAAGCAGGTGCCGTTTGAACTGCGGCCTTTCCAAACTCGAATAAAAGTCCGCCAAAAGGCCGAGCAGAAATGCACAACTGACACGATGCAGTTTGTGCGGCAATAAATTCCCGGTCATTGAACTTGTAAAATTCACAGAATCTGCACAAGTACAAAGTACTTTGACCGATGATCATTGCCTGTACATTCTGTGGCCAGGCAGGATAGATCAATAAAAGTGCATTTCTTAAAGTCACGCATGTGTAACGCTCACGCTAAAGAACTAGGATTGTGAACGACTCGTAATCACTGAATTCGATCAAACATATAGGGCCGATTTGCGTATTTATATCAGGGCGCGGTTTTACAGCATTCTCGGAATTCTCTGAAACGATGAACACTGTACTTCGAGCGACTACTAATACTTGTCTTTTGAACGAATAGCTCCGATTACGAGAAACGAATCGCGCAATGACACTCCAATAAATTTCGGTGAGTAGGTGCATAACGTTCTTGCTCAATGCTTCTTAGCCGAGCAAAAGCACTCGAGACCGTCCTGCAGACTGAAATGATAAGGATAACAACTACCCCATTGGATTTTTGTCATTGGCTTCCTTAAAGCGCGCGTGGAGGCGCTAATGGACAAGTGAGTATCATCGGTGGTGGTGGTGGTGGTGGTGGTGGTGGTGGTGGTGGTGGTGACGGCGGCGGCGGCGGCGGCGGCGGCGGCGGCGGCGGCTGTGACGGCAGCAGCGGTGGCGATGGTGACGGCGATGGTGATGGTATTGGCAGCAGCAGTAGTGGCAGGGGTTTTGGCAAAGAACCATGTACATTCATAAGGTTGCAGTTTATCTCACCTGTTTGCGCTATTAGCCTTCAGTATCCCAGCAAAACTTTCAGGCTACACCCTCTGATAGTTCAAAACCCGGTAAGGTCGCGGATCGTCGGGCAGTATGTGGCGTGGAACGGTTTGCCAGAGGGATGCTATCCTGCAACCCTTGTGTGCAAGGACTGATTTCTCCATCTACTCGTCACGTACACCAGTTTAAGATTCTATGATTGTATCGGAGACGCTGATTAAGGTCTTGATGGCGGACAGGCACCATTCGCTGTCGTAATACCGCTGTGACTTGAGGCCTCTGTAAAGGTTACCGTGGCCATGACTGCTGGACGCTCCGTGACTGAAAGCCCACTCATTTTGCGGCTAGGCTTCATTGAAGGTCAGTCCATTATCCGCTACTTGTGAACCAGACGGCAATCCTCACCCAGTCCAACAGACAAATCTCAGAAACATAAATTAGAGTGATGCGATAAGACTTTAATTTTAGACGATTACGTAGACAAGGCTTACAAAAGTAATTAGGGAATTACACCGTCTCAAATCATCTCCCAAAATGTAGACGTCCGTCATCTGACTGAATACCCTCTCATGCGCATCTTTTCATTTATTTTCTCTGCCTGGGGAGCCACTGTGCATCGGGATGTAGGATAACGTAAACTTCCGTCATGTAAATGAGTGGAATTCAGTTTGAAAATCATATTGTCATGCGAAAACGTTGACTTCATTTCAAACTACCTAGGCATCCGTGAAATGTTTGAACCCGAAATGTTTTTACCTCTAGGGAACCAACTTTAAGGAGGACACTATTTTCTGTATGAAGAACATGTTTCCTGTGGCTTCCGAACAAAATATTATTGAATTTCTACAGGTGTACTAGTCAAAAGAAACTTTGCATCTGATTGTAACTTCTGTAGGTGTCCGGAGAGGACAATTTTCTCCACGGCTTTCTTTTAAAACATCAAGAAACCGTCTATATGTTAAACGTGCTGAAGATACAGTAAGTGGGCGAACTCGTGAAATCTCAACAGAAATTCCAAAATGCATTTCCGTTTCGAAAAGACTACTTAAGTAGGGTTGTAAAACCAATCATCTTGCAGCATACTTCTATAATAATTCAGTTACCCCAGGATGCCGGCTTTCGAACAAACTTCTTTTCGGTTGCATCCAAAAACCATACTCCGTAAAAATGACTTCTTACGTCGCATGCATTTTTACATCTGATTTCCGATAACCCTGAAGATCCAATTATATTTCATGGAAAGCATGCATAAAACTATTAGTTTTTGCTCATTTAGTAGAAAAATAGGTCTTCTTTTAATTTTACACTCGAAGGATGGGTATAATTTGGTTTTCTAAAACTTTTCCAATTCCCGAATAATTTTGAACCCGCCCCACCGATACACTTCGATTCAGGGTTCTCAAACTACAAGCCGTATAATTTCCGCATACGGAAAAACATGCATTTCTCTACCGTATTATGAGGAGACCATATAGGCTTCGTAAAATTAAGCAGTGGATTTGAGTTACATTGTTAACTTTACAAGCCACATTGGTAAATGTAGAGACATGACGTTTTATGAACAGTCATTTCATGGTATTAAAAAATCTCACAAGTAGAAACTTTTTAAAACCGAATTATGTCCCTACTTCGAGTATAAAATTAGAAAAAGACGTAATTTTCTATTAAATGAGCAAAATAATGAATACTTTTACGCATGTTTTCTATGGAATCTAATTGGACTTTTAGGGGCATCGAAAATTAATGAGAAAAAAGCATGCTACTTAATTAGTCATTTTTTTCAGAGTTTAGATTTGCGTGCAGCCGGAAGGAATTTCTTCCGAAAGCCGGCTTCCTGATGCAACTGAAATATTATAGAATTATGCTGCATGATGATTGGTTTTACAAACCTACTTAATTAACCTTTTTCTAAACGGAAACGCATTTCGGAATTTCTGCTGAAATTTCATGAGTTAGCCAACCTACTGTATGGCTGGTAGCCAGACTGTCAAATTCATCTGTAAGATGTGGTTATACAGCCGCACCTAATGGACACAATACTGTTAGGGTTTAGGACAACTATTTCTCAACCACTCAAATTACAACCGCGCATTTCCAATAGCATTTCTTCTGCAAACAATTATTTGACCTCGTCGCCTGTGCGTCCCCCGGCCCCACTTGTAAAAACGCCTATTACCACCGGTCACGTATTACAGGCGGCTGGGGTTTGTTTGCCTCAGGTACGGCTGTACAACCACATCTGATCAATTCATTTCCATTTTCTGAAGGATTACTTAGATCACGTTTATGTATGTTCGCTGGAAAATGGACTGTTGCTTAACGAGCCGAAACCACTCCAGTGTGTTTTTCCACTGCCACCCTTTTCATTTCTAAATTCCTTTATGCTTTTCTCAGTAAGTTACCATCTTTCCAGTACCTTAGTGTTACGCTGCCCTCAGATATTCCATTTTCCCTTCATACTAAGACTCTTTTCACTAAAATTTGTAAGTTTGTTAATTACATCTATCGGTTCCATTCCTATTACACACCTCAACCGTTAATCTGGAGCTTTGTAGATGCCTACATTCTCCCTCGCATTCTTTACTGTTCTCCGGTCATTTTACCTGCCTTGTTTACAAATGATATGCCCATCGTAAAATGTGTCCCCGAATACTCTATCCTACTGCCGGTCTTTCTTACGTCTTATTGGCTGATATCTTAATACGACATTTCACGTCGGTCAGGCAGTTTGCTGATCGAATTCTGGATGGCGTTGTCCAGCCTCTTCATGCAAAATTAATGGATGTGAAGTCCTTACGCAGCACGCGCCGTGGCTTCCACTAAGCCTCTTGCCGTACATCGGCATACCAGCTTTTAGTACTGCCATCACGGGCACAATATCTAGATCATGTAAATAGATCGCAGTACAGTAATTGGGACTCGAACTATCCCCACGGGAATGGATGACTCTTTTCCTGAAGACTTTGGAATGATACATTCAAAATAAGGTGTATTTCGCTTTTATCTCCCTCTAACCCTCCGATGATGTCCACACGAGGTCTGGATCAGGGCTCACAACGGTTTCATGTTACCGTTTGCTGGGAGAGCGGACACACATTTGGTAGAACTCGTCTCCCAAGACAAAAGCGCTGTTGCAATGGACCACCTTGTCGAAGTTTCCTTTTTACTGTTGTGAGGGAAAATAGCACTGTCTGGGGTTTTTACTTCTTTACCCTTTTCAAATGTCTTTCTCCCAACTAACAATTTCATGTGAACGCACACACACATTGGCTAGATAGTAATGACCCAGAGCAGGTAGACTAACCCAAAAATTGTCAAACGAAATTCCGAAATTTGTTTTCGTTTAAAAAAGATTAATTGAGTAGATTGCAAAGTTAATCATTATAGAGCATACTTCCATACTAATTCAGTTACTTCAGGATGCCGGCTTTCGAACGAACTTCTTTCCGGCTAAATGCAAAAACTATACTCTGTAAAAAATGACTGCTTAAGTAGCATGCATTTTCCTCAATGATTTTCGGTGCCCTTAAAATTTAATTATATTTCATGGAAAGCATGCAAAAAACATTCATTCTTTTGCCCATTCGGTAGAAACCGACGTCTTTTTCCAATTTTATGCCCGAAGGAAGGGTAAAATTCGGTTTTAAAAAAATTCTAATTGTGAGATTTTTTCATATCCTGAAATGGCCGTTCATAAAACGTCATGTCTCTGTATTTACAGTGCGTGACCGATCTCATGAAATGTTGGCCAAAATTCTGGAATGCGTTTCAAATTAGGAAGGATAGCTTAAGTGGGGTTGTTATACTGATTACCATGCAGCAAAAACCTATAACATTTCGGACTCATCAGGATGTCGGCTTTTGAATGCACTTCTTTTTGACCTCCTGCAGAAACCACACTCGGTAAAAAATGACTTCTTATGTAGCATGCATTTTTCGAATTGCTTTTCGATGGTCTTATAAATTCAAGTACATTTTATAGAAAATATGCACAAAATATGCTTTCTCTTGCTCATTTGGAATAAAATCACATTGTCTTCATATTTTATGTCCGAAGAACGTGTATATTTTGGTTTTAAAAAATTTCTTATTATGAGAATTTTAAGACCGCGTGATGTCCATGCATGCAAGACCGCACATGTCCGTTTACTAATGCTCCTCATGAACTATACAGCACAGTCCAGATCCATTGCAAAATTTTATGAGCTTTATATAGTATCTTCTTAAAGGCATAAAGGAATATATGATTTTTCTTACGCTGACTGCATGCACCTTGTAGACTGAAATTGCTAAACGCTGATGCATTGGCAGATCAGGCTGAAAATTATTCGGGAATGAGAAAACTTTTAAAACCAAAATATACACGTTCTTCGGACAAAAAGTATGAAGACAATGTGATTTTATTCCAAATGTGCAAAAGAAGGCATATTTTGTGCATATTTTCTATGAAAAATATTTGAATTTATAAAACCATCGAAAATCAATAGGAAAATGCATGCTACTGAAGTAGTCATTTTTTACCGAGTGTGGTTTCTGCAGGAGGTCAACAAGAAGTGCATTCAAAAACCGACATCCTGGCGAGTCCGAAATGTTATAGGATTATGCTGCATAATAATCAGCATAACGAGCCCACTTCAGTAACCCTTCCTAATCGGAAACGTATTCCAGAATTTTGGCCAACATTTCATTACATCGGTCACGCACTGTACCAACGAGGCTTGTAAAGTTAACAATATGGCTCAAATCCACTGCTAAATTTTATGAACCCCATATGGTCTCCCCTTAATACCGCGCGGATGTAGTTTCATTTCATGCTCGCTGACTCCAAACACGGAAGGGAGCATGCGTTCGACCGAAAGTGTTAAGAACACATAGGACTCTGGTCGCACAGCTTCGGTGCAGACGAAGAAGAAGAAGAAGAAGAAGAAGAAGAAGAGAAGAGAAAGAGGAAAGAAGGGTATGTAAAAGAATGAGATATGAACAAGCGGAAGAAGGAGATAGTGATACGGAATTAGAGACAAATGGACAGCCAGGGGAAAACAAAATAGGAACAGGTAGGAGATGAAGAAAGGAAGGGGGGAGGTAGAAGAGGTAGAGGAGGAGGAGGAGGAGGAGGAGGAGGAGGAGGAGGAGGATTCGGTCACTGGAATGGTTATTGTATTCGCCCGAGCTTCCATATCCGTGAACGGAAACCACAATTATCCGATGATCAACTTCTCTTCTTCACAGCCGGAGCGTTGGATCCTCATCTCTGCCCGTATCTGTCAGACGCATCCAAATTTTCCAGCTGGGCCCTAACCTCTTCGATGCATGAGGACGCCGTGAGGTTCAGTAGGTTCTTTGGTGCATGACAATTTCATTATGTGCATTCACTACTCTAATCTATTGCTGCTTGTGCCGATGGACTCGGGAGTGATTTCGTAAAATTCAGGAGAATAAAATCCTTGTTCGTGCCGCAGTACGACCTTTTCCTCATGTCATGTCTTGTTCCATTCAGCAGGTAATTGCATCATCCATGAGCGTAGTTCTTTAAAAACTTCTTCTGTCTCAACTCCAAGCGTTTTCAAGGCTGGGACAAGTTTTCATATACTTATTGACCTTAAACTTGCTCTCTCCGATTATAAAGCAGGTAGAGTTGGTCAACACTTTTTGGTATCTTATTAGATTCACAAATTCTTTCCTTAAAGAAGTGGGACGAAAAAGATCAGTTAGTGTCAGTAGAAAAGAAACACTTAATTTGGTATTAAAAACCCTAGAACCAACAGAAAACGAAAGCTGCCTCGAAAAATATGAACTGCAGGACCTCTTGGTGACAGAATGACTTTTGCTTGTAAGGAACCCATTTCTAGGTTGATTTATTCCGAGTTCTCTCAGGTACATGCATCTACATTCTACGAAATGCGAAAATCGAAGCTAAAATTACGCATAATTTCAGCACTTTTGACAGTTTATGACCGATACGGGGGCCGAATTATCTATCCTACTGCGGCCAGCCTATTATTTGAAAATGAGTAGTCTGTGATTATGCTCCATGATGCAAGAACCGTCAACGGGTTTCTCTGTCATGATATAATGCTATTCGAAACTCTGTTGATTCATTGGAGCAACACAATCGACATGGATTTCCACCACTATCAAAATAGCGAGTCAAAATATACGGGCAAGTAGGTAATTATGTTGTAGCTCGGGTCTGGGGGAGGGAGAGTGAAATACCAAAATCCCAGTCAGCGCCAGGGGGAAGCTAATTATGTGCGGGTGACCGGCATGGTGAGACCTACATGAAGTTCTTCAGTACGCATAGAAACGGTTTGCGTAGCCTGATTGCAGCCCCCCGAACCCGAGCTACAGCACAATTATCTACTTGCCCGCATCCTTTGATTCATTACTTCAATAGCCATATAAATGTACAGGCCGGAAGTAAAATTATCAAAAACGGACGTATGCTCGCCAAATTCTTCAACATTTCATAAAGTAGAAAATTCTTCAGTGCGGTATTTCGTGGATCTGGAGAAAACTGTCTAGTTAATCATAAGATGTAAAGAGCAAACTCGCGTGTGCTCTGGCGTGGCAGAAATCGGAGTCCCTCCTGAATTAGGGCGTCGACGTCCAAGTTTGCCCCGGTTATTGAGTTCTCGTAAACGATCACGTGCTCAGTGATTACCGCGCTCTGTTAATCGATAAACCACCCACTCTCCAGGACGTCGATGTGGCTTAACGCCACGTGCTAGGCCGTTCGCTCTGCCCAAACTTAGTGTCCCAGTCGATCCGAGGCGCCCTACTAGTTGAAATTAAACTCCAGAGGACGCCTTGACCAGGAAAGGGTGCCGGCGGTTTGCACAAAGCGTACTCGATCTGGAAGGTCATCGCCCGCCTGGAGGATGTACAGTGGCATTTTCTTGTCAGTTCACCTTCTCAGGCCGCTCTAAAAAGATTTTGTTAGCTGCTAATCCTTCGTCTACAGTGCGTGACCGATCTCATTAAATGTTGGCTGAAATTATGAAGTGCGTTTTCGATTAGGAGGGATTACTTGGGCGCGCTTGTAATACAGATTACCTTGCGGCGTAATCTTATAACATTTCAGACTCTGCAGGATGTCGGCTTTTAAATGCACTTCTTCTCAATCTCATATAGAAAGCGTTCTCGGTAAGAAATGACTACTTAAATAGCATGCATTTTTCCCATTGATTTTCTATGGTCTTGCAAATTCAAATATATTTTATAGAATCCATAAACAAAAATATGGTTTATTTTAAGCAATCAATAGAGAATCACGTCTTCTTTATATTTTATATTTAAGGAAGAAGTGTAATAAGGTTTTAAAAAAGTTTTATAATTGCCAAATAATTTGGAGCCTGACCATTCGTTGCATTAGCGCTTAGTGATTTCACTCTACAAGGTGCATGCGTTCCGCGCAAAGAAAATCACATATTCGTTTATGCCATTAAAGAGACATCATACAGGGTCCATAAAATTTTACAATAGATGCAGACCATGTTGTACATTTCAGGAGGAGCAGTGGTAAGCGGCCAGGTACGATGCTATGTGAATGGACATTTCGCGGTCTTATAAAGTCTCATAATTGGAAAATTTTTAAAACCTAATTATACTCCTTCCTTAAGTATAAAATATAAAGAAGACGTGATTCTCTATTGATTGCTTAAAATAAACCATATTTTTGTTTATGGATTCTATAAAATATATTTGAATTTGCAAGACCATCGAAAATCAATGGGAAAAATGCATGCTATTTAAGTAGTCATTTCTTACCGAGAAAGCTTTCTATATGAGATTGAGAAGAAGTGCATTTAAAAGCCGACATCCTGCAGAGTCTGAAATGTTATAAGAGTATACCTTAAGAAAATTAGTATTAAAACCGCGCCCAAGTAATCCTTCCTAATCGAAAACGCATTTCAGAATTTCAGCCAACATTTCATGAGATCCGTCACTCACTGTATGTCTTCCTGTCAGATTCTAAAAAGACGGTAAGATATGGTTATGCAGCCGCACCTGATGGACACAATACCGTTGAGGTTAGGGTTAAAGGGTAAGGTTGGGGGTTACGGTTAGGAGTTAGGGTTAGGGATTAGGGCAACTATTTTTTCAACCACTTAAAGTACAACCGCACATTCCTAATAGCTTTTCTTTTGCATACAATTATTTGACCTCGTCGCCTGTGCGTTCTCCGGCCCCACCTGTAAAAAACTCCTATTTCCATCTGTCCTGTATTAGAATTGGCTGGGGTTTGTTTACCTCAGGTGCGGCTATAAAACCACATCTGACTCTAACTACTGACTTGCCAAATTACTTTCCTTGTCGACATGGCCTGCGTCCAAGTACTAGAGCCAGTCCACGTAACCTACACACCTACTTGCTTGATCAATGCTGTGTATTTTGGATGTTTAAGCTAAGTCTTCAGTTTTTTTGGTCAGTAATCTGTCAGGGTATGCCCTAGAAAGGGACATAAACTAATCACTTACCCCCTAGTGATTCCTCTAGTATGTGCAGACTGAAGGAAGCCCTTCTGTTCGGCCAAAATGTGTGCCAACCTACATACGGGCAGAGCGAGGATTTGCGATTTTTGGCCAGCGCACTGCCATCATCGGGTTGGGGAGTCAGTTTAATTACAGAAAACGAGCACTTCAGGCGGTGCTTGTCAAAATGGGCGTAAAATTCCTCCTCCTTCTTCATCTTCTCCTCCTCCTCTCCTGACTGTTCTCCGCATATGTCCGCCCAAAATAGCACAGTAGATGTGCTAACTCATGAAATGTTAACCGAAATTCTGAAATGTGTTTTCGGTTCGAAAAGATTACTTAAGTGGGGTTGTAGTATTAATCATCGTGCTACCTAATCCCATGGTGATTCATTTACTTCAGGAAGCCGGTCTTTAAATGGACTTCTTCCGGGCCACCTGTAGAAACTACACTCAATAAACAATGACCGCTTAAGTAGTATGAATTTTTCTCGTTGATTTTCGCCGCCCCCGTCGATTCAAATATATTTCATAGAGAGCATACGTAAAAATATTCATTTTTTGCTCATCTGGTGGGAAGTCATGCCTTCTTTGAATTTTATACTGGAAGGAAGGGTATAATTCGGTTTTAAAGAAGTTTCTGATGATGAGATATCTTAAGACTGTGAAATGTCCGTTCTAAAAACATCTAGTCTCTGATTTACTTATGATGCTCCTAAGGTATGCAATATGGATCAAATCCACTGCAAACTTTTATCAACTCTATATGGCCTCCTCTTAATAGCGGGTAGAAATATATGATTTTCCGTACACAGAAAATCTGCAGCTTGTAGATTGGATACCCTGAATGCAAGCGTAACGGCAGGTCGGCTTCAAAACTCTTCAAAGGTTGAAAAAGTTTTTAAAACCGAATTACACCCTTCCCTAAGGTATAGAATTCGAAGAAGACATAATTTCCTACTTGGCCTACTATCATTTTATACTAATTCATGCGCAATTCATACGCATGGTGGACGTCCTTCCTCGTGACGGTCGAACTATCATCAAGTAGACCATTTTTTCACGAGTGTTTTAACGTTCCAATACGGTCATCTTGTGGTATGGGAACTTAGCCCCGTAATAAAAGAATAGCAAACAATTTAAGATACGGTAGGTTGGCTAACTCATAAAATGTCAATCGAAATTCTGAAATGCGTTTTCGTCTCGAAAAGATTAATTAAGTAGGGTTGTATGACTGGTCAGCCTGCAACCTAATTCTATAATATTTCTATAATATTTCACCTGAGGATGCCGGCTGTCGAATGAACTTCCTTCCGGCTGCATGCAAAAACTACACTCTGTGAAAAATGACTACTTACGTTGCATGCATTTTTCTCATTGATTTTCGATACCCATAAAAGTCTAATTATATTTCACGGAAAACATGCATAAAATGTTCATTTTTTTGATCAGTCGGTAGATAATTGCGTTTTTTTCTAATGTTTTACTCGAAGGAGGGACAAAGTCTGGTTTTAAAAAAGTTTCTAATTGTCCGACTTTTAAATACCGTGAAAAAGCTGTTCATAAATCGTCATATCTTTACATGTACCAATGCGGCTTGTAAAGGTAACAATATGGACCAAATCCACTGATAAATTTTATGAACACTATATGGTCCCCCTTTAGTACCATAGAGAAATGTGTGGTTTTCCGTACGCAGAAAACGTACGACCTGTAGTTTGGAAACCCTGAATGCGAGTTTGACGGTGGAGTGGGTTCAAAATTACTCGGGAATTGGAAAACTTTTTTAAAACCGAATTATCTCCCTCCATCGAGCATAAAATTAGAA